TTCATTCATAATTGAGGATATAGTATACATACCAGGTCCTCAATTATGTACAAACACTCAGCGATCACTGATCACTGAGTGCTTGTACCCGTTCTCCTTTATGACACACACTGTCATTGGAGGCTGCAAGAGGAGAGCCCAGCCTCCTGTGACAGCGCTGGCTGTCTCCGCCCCCACACCGCTCTGCTGCACTGTGATAGGCGGCCGAGTGGTGTGGGAGGAAAGACACCGGCCGCTCACAGCGCTCGTCCCGCAGCGCTCGGCCGGCTGTCATTTTCTCTCTGATTCCTTTCATCCCCGCTGGGCACTGCTCTGTATCCCAGCGCGGATGAAAGGAATCACGGCCGCGCCGACAAAACGGCAGAAAAATGTCACTTTCGGCATTTAGCCGAAAGTGCCATTTTCGGCCGGCGCCCCCCCTTCACTTTTCGCCCGGGGCCCGCGCCCCTGCTGCACCCCCGGTTGTTACGCCACTGCTCCCGTGACCCTTAGGAGAACTATGGGGAAAAGCCCTGACCCCATAGTTCTCCTTTTAAGCATTGTGAGATCTCAAACATGACTGGACGCAGAGGAATTGTAATTGATATGTATGATGAGATACTGCCAGTAGCAGTTTGTGCGATGTGGAGCTCCACTCCTGGAAGAATCCTACTATACATTACATATATATTACTATGTATCCCCTTTATTTGGGTCTGGCCATATATCAGATCATGCATTGATGAAGGGGGAGTGTCTGAACCCCTGAAACACGTTGGGTTTCTATTTATTGACTATTGGATAAAAGAACACTCTGTCACCCATTGGCGTGGCTCTCTGACTGCTTTTAGTACATCTGAACTGTCTCTTTAGTGCAGCCTTCCTTCTAAAATACTTTACCTTCCATCCTCATCCCACCAACCCTTGCTGTGCAGCGTCATACAGCCTTTGCATTGCGGGGGGGTCCTCTTCCTACTGAGTATGCGCACCTCAGCCCTATTCATTCCAATGGGTGAGCCGTACTCTGCTGAATGACCGGAGGACGCCATAAGTACGGCTCACCCATAGGAATGAATAGGGCCGAGGTGCACATGCACAGTAGGAATAGGGACAGTAGGAACGGGAGACAATTTCATTGCAAAGGCTGTGGGGGCCCGGGGAGGGCCACACAGTGAAGAGTGCTTGAGCGTGGAGGAAGGTAACTATGTCACCAGACAGGCTACATTCAGGAAGGAGGGGGGGAGGGGGAGTTAAAGGAAAACTGTGCTATAGATACCATTATCCCTGAAGTATTTTTGTATTGACTGTCATGTTGTTCCAAGCTTGCTCTCCCACATTCCACATTTGTCCTGCAGGGCAGGGTGACAGTGTCTCCTTAAATTCCACCCCACCCCACCTATACTCATCTTACCGGCACACTCTCACAGCCACTTGATGCTTTGCAGCCGACCCTAAAATCCCGGGTAATGTGACAGCACTAGGGACATACACTCCACCACTATATTCATCATTTACCAGCAACCTAAAGATCTCTCTGATTGTCCATTTTTACTGAGGTCGCTGAGCCCTGACGAAGGGGGTGTGCTGTGAGACCTCCAAAACGTGTTGCCTGTTTATAAAGGGGGTGTGCTGTGAGCCCCCCAAAACGCGGTGGCTGTTTATAAAGGGGGTGTGCTGTGACCCCCCCCCCTCCCCCAAAGGCGGAGGCTGTTTCTGAAGGGGGGTTACTGAAAGTCCCTGAAATGCGGTGGCTGTTTATGAAGGGGGTGTGCTGTGAGCCCCCTGCAACGTGGTGGCTGTTTATGAAGGGGGTGTGCTGTGAGACCCCCGAAACGTGGTGTCCGTTTATGAAGGGGGTGTGCTGTGAGCCCCCCAAAACACGTGGCTCTTTATTATTATTATTATACAGGATTTATATAGCGCCAATAGTTTGTGCAGCGCTTTACAATATAAGGAAGACATTACAGTCACAATACAATATAAGACAAGCTGGTAAGGAGGGCCCTGCCCCTAAGGGCTTACAATCTAAGAGGGAAGTGATACATGAGGAGGGATCTGCGCGGGGATGATTGTTTGAGAAAGTGATTGTTCAGTGGTTAGGGTGAGGTGGGATAGGCTTACCTGAAGAGATGAGTCTTAAGGGATCGCCTAAAGGCAGTCAGTGTGGGAGATAGACGGACAGGTTGGGGTAGAGAGTTCCATAGGATGGGAGACACTCTAGTGAAGTCCTGGAGGCGAGCATGGGAGGAGTTGATGAGGGAGCTGGAAAGCAGGAGGTCTTGGGAAGAGAGGAGGGGACGGTTAGGGTGATGCTTTGAGACCAGGTTGGAGAAATAGCCGGGGGCAGAGTTGTGGATGGCTTTGTACGCGGTTGTTAATATTTTGAATTTTATCCTTTTGGGCTATAGGAAGCCAGTGGAGGGATCGGCAGAGAGGGGCGGGTGATGGAAGCCAGTGCCGGGATTGGCAGAGGGGGGTGGGTGATGGAAGCCAGTGCAGGGAGAGGTTTGGATGAGAGTGTGTTAATGAGAGTGACAAAATAAGTCTGTTTGGCAGCACGGAGGGGGGCGTTATATTTTAGGAGGGCAGCTTTATACAAGGTGAAATCTTGCAGAGATCTAGTTTTCCGCCACAGTCGTTCAAGAGCGCGACTATGTCTTTTTAGATGTCTGGTTTCTTTTGTTTGCCACGGTTGTAGTGGACGTGGTCTAAGTCTGCGTGTAGTGAGGGGAGCCAAAGTGTCTAGGGAGGATGAAAGTGAGCTGTTGAAGACAGGAATAGCCAGGGCAGGGCAGGGCAGGGGTGAGATCTTGTCATAGAGGTAGTCAGTAGCAGAGTAGAGAAGAGAAGGGTCGAGGTGGCGGAGGTTTCTCCGGGTGACAGTGTGACGTGTAGGGGGAGTCCGTGTTGGGGACAGGGTGAGGGTGAAACTGACAAGGTTGTGGTCAGAGAGGGGGAAAGGGGGGCTGGAGAGGTTGCAAGGAGTGCATAGGTGGGAGAAAACAAGATCTAGTATGTTAACATCAGAGTGAGTAGGAGTGTCTGACCATTGTGTTAGATCAAAAGAAGAGGTGTGCTGTGACCCCCCTTAAAACGCGGTGGCTGTTTATGAAAGGGGTGTGCTGTGAGCCCCCTTAAAACGCGGTGGCTGTTTATGAAAGGGGTGTGCTGTGAGCCCCCCCCAAAGGCGGTGGTTGTTTCTGAAGGGGGGTTACAGAGAGTTGCTGAAACGCAGTGGCTGTTTATGAAGGGGGTGTGCTGTGAGCCCCCCAAAACGCAGTGGCTGTTTATGAAGGGGGTGTACTGTAAGCCCCCTGAAACGCGGTGGCTGTTTATGAAGGGAGTGTGCTGTGAGCCCCCCGAAACGAGGTGGCTGCTAATGATGGGGGGGTGCTGTGAGCCCACCAAAACGCGGTGGCTGTTTATGAAGGGGGTGTGCTGAGAGCCCACCAAAGCACGGTGGCTGTTTCTAAAGGGGGGTTGCTGAGAGTCCCTGGAATGCGGTGGCTCTTTTATGTGATGTTGCTAAGGGACCATTGAGGTATTTTGGACTCTTTACCCATTTGGCGCTCCTGCTGTATTCTTATACTTTGTAGAAACACTGTCACTGCAGTGAGCAAAGTAACAACGTCTCTTCAATAACTGCTGGGATAAGATGTCGGCCACACAGGGGGCGCGTTTCTTTTAATGAGCCTGCGGACCTTTAGGCCAGCGTTGTGTTCTGTAGGAAGAAGAACCTTTGTATGTGATCAGCAAATACAATTAGAAACAAAGTGACATTTCTGGAACCTGAACACTGATACAAATATTTACATTGCACTGATCATTGAGCACTGACTGACTGACTGACTGACTGACTGACTGACTGACTGACGGGTGAACATGAAACGTGTGTCTGTCCTCTCCCTGTATTTGGCGGACGGGAAGAGTTCCAGATTTTGGGATATTTGTTTGGGATTGAACATGTGATCCTCTGTTGTGGCTGCGGATTTTGGCACATGGGACCCCGGCACTCCGTGTGGAAAGGAGCCCGCACAGCTATTCTTGTCTGATTTCCAGCCCAGGACCTTTCTTGGCATAAACAAAATCTTCCAGATTCATCCCGCACATTCCGTTCCTTTCACGTTTCCTGAATGTGACATTTCCTTTTCTTTATGACGCCGCAGGTTTGTTCCCTGCAGATGAGGTTTATTCTGATTATAGTTAATTCTGTGCCTTCTCTGGTGTGCTGTCCTTATACCTTCTCCTCACTGTCCCACCACCAGCTTTACTTCTCACTGCCCCACTGCTACCCTTACTCCTTCTCACTGCTACCCTTACTCCTTCCCCCTGCTACCCTTACTCCTTCTCACTGCTACCCTTACTCCTTCTCACTGCTACCCTTACTCCTTCTCACTGCTACCCTTACTCCTTCTCACTGCTACCCTTACTCCTTCTCACTGCTACCCTTACTCCTTCTCACTGCTACCCTTACTCCTGCTCACTGCCCCACTGCTACCCTTACTCCTGCTCACTGCTACCCTTACTCCTCCTCCTTATTGCCCCAGTGCGGCCCTTAGTCCTCCACCTCACTTTCCCACTGCTACCCTTACTCCTTCTCACTGCCCCACTGCTACCCTTACTCCTCCTCCTTATTGCCCCAGTGCTGCCCTTAGTCTTCCACCTTACTTTCCCACTGCTACCCTTACTCCTTCTCACTGCCCCACTGCTACCCTTACTCCTCCTCCTTATTGCCCCAGTGCTGCCCTTAGTCTTCCACCTTACTTTCCCACTGCTATCCTTACTCCACATACAGCGTCTCTTTGTTGTATTGTTACCGTCCGTCTCCATTTCCCAGGGACAATCCCTATTTTGAGAAACAATTGTTCCCAGTGCTGCCCCCCCCCCATGATAAATTTAGAATAAAACCGTTCTGTTTTCATTACACATCTTCTTTAAGTCCCGGTGATGTCATCATTGGTCTCTGTGCTTCTCTATGCATGCACGCAGATCATGGATGATGGGATCATGAAGACTCACTGAACAACACGGGGCTCACTAAAAGACACGGGGTCCCTGGGTGACAGAGGATGCTTGGGAAGCTCTGGAGTAACAGGAGGACACAGGGTGCTCTGGAGTGATGGGGGTGACACGGGATACACAGGGTGCTTTGGAGTCATAGGGGGTCACAGGGTCTCTGTGTTTCTCTGTGCAATGCAGGCAGATCATGGCTGGTGGGAAGGTGGCCTCAGTACTCCTCAAGAGTCCTCAGCCCTGATATAAGCAGTAGGAGGAGTTATGCAAATATCTACATGCCCTGATGGGTGGGTGTTAGTTTGGAGGAGTGGGTGTTCCTAGGCTACATTTGCATGAAGACCACCCTAGGTAACGCCCACATGTGGTGCTGAGCCTCCGTGATTGAAAGAACTGAATCCAATGAATGAAAAGGTCGGGACCGGGGACAGTCAGGCCGGAGGCAGAAAGGGCTGGAAGATGCTGGACGTCCTCCAGCCAGGAAATGAGGCGGGCTCCATCTTACTTGGTGCAGCTACTAATGTACATTGTGAGAAGCTCCCAGTGTGCAGTATAATCAGAGGAAGCCATTTCAGTCCAGGGGAGGAGCCGGTACCACTGTGCAAGACTGAAGGGAAGGTCAGAGTTCAAATTTAAATATATCTTTTCATATGCATTACTTCTGTGCAATGCTCTGCAGATCTATCACTGGGTTTATGGTAGGAGATAGGTGGCACAGGGTGATGCTCTGCAGATCTATCACTGGGTTTATGGTAGGAGATAGGTGGCACAGGGTGATGCTCTGCAGATCTATCACTGGGTTTATTGTAGGAGATAGTTGGCACAGGGTGATGCTCTGCAGATCTATCACTGGGTTTATGGTAGGAGATAGGTGGCACGGGGCGATGGTCTGCAGATGTATCACTAGGTGCATGGTAGGATATAAGTGGCAAAGGGTGATAATCTGCAGATGTATCACTGGGTTTATGGTAGGAGATAGGTGGCACGGGGTGATGCTCTGCAGATGTATCACTGGGTTTAAAGGGTGATGCTCTGCAGATCTATCACTGGGTTTATTGTAGGAGATAGTTGGCACAGGGTGATGCTCTGCAGATCTATCACTGGGTTTATTGTAGGAGATAGTTGGCACAGGGTGATGCTCTGCAGATCTATCACTGGGTTTATGATTCTGTGCAATGCTCTGCAGATCTATCACTGGGTTTATGGTAGGAGATAGGTGGCACAGGGTGATGCTCTGCAGATCTATCACTGGGTTTATTGTAGGAGATAGTTGGCACAGGGTGATGCTCTGCAGATCTATCACTGGGTTTATGGTAGGAGATAGGTGGCACGGGGCGATGGTCTGCAGATGTATCACTAGGTGCATGGTAGGATATAAGTGGCAAAGGGTGATAATCTGCAGATGTATCACTGGGTTTATGGTAGGAGATAGGTGGCACGGGGTGATGCTCTGCAGATGTATCACTGGGTTTATGGTAGGAGATAGGTGGCACGGGCGATGGTCTGCAGATGTATTGTTAGGTTAATGGTAGGAGATAGGTCCCACAGGGTGATGGTCTGCAGATGTATCACTAGGTGCATGGTAGGATATAAGTGGCAAAGGGTGATAATCTGCAGATGTATCACTGGGTTTATGGTAGGAGATAGGCAGCACGGAGCGATGCTCTGCAGATATACCACTAGGTTTATAGTAAAAGGGGAGGGCACAGGGAGCAGTCACAGGGCGATGTTCTGCACATTCTGTCCTATGAGCAGTGTATGTCTTCACACGCCTCCAGTCAGCACATATCTTCCTCAGAAGGTGATTTACATTCAATATATATATATATATAGCCAGTCAGAGCACCAGACACGCCGCCGTCCAAAGACATAAGACGGAACTGTACGGGGCCCCCTGCAGTGCGAGAGGTGAACTACACCTGCTAATGGTGTCAGTCTAAAGAGGACTGGTCATAGTGTGAGATGACTGAATGATGCTGAATGAATAATATACAAAGTGACTGACACATGAGGAAGTCCTGTGTTATTGTTATCTGCACCCTTGGACAATAACTGCTTTCTACTGTCCAAATGCGCCCCACATCCCCCCTTCTCTCAGG